TGAACGCCGGATTGAAACTAGACACAAGTAGGCAGATTTAACGCAGCTCCAAGATATGAATGCAACGCTTTCGCGGGAGTCTAGTTACCACAGAGAGGTGATTAACGGACTGGCGTGGAGCATCCGTCAGCGCCGGGTTAAGTAGCTCTTCAGGTAATCACCCCGATGGAGAGCAGGTGTGCCGGTGATGGCCCAGCCTGGGGGTGTGGCTACCCGCGCACCACACATTCCACACACAGGACCACGGACCATGACAGAGACAAAGTTATTAAAATGTCATAGTATTTATAGGCCTATAGGCTAAAAGATATTTAATGCAGAATAGCTGCAATGGCATATGATGCTTCCTTCCAACCACAACCAGATTCAGATCCCACTTTGGCCCAGGTGGACCTTGTCTGTCAAAACTATAATATTAGTGTTTTTCCTAAACATGCTCAGCGATTATGTGGTATATGCAGAGAAAAATGTTATTTAGACTAAGGTGGAGTGTGAAAAGTGATCTAGATTGTTAGAACTGTTGTTTTTGACTGCTCCCTAATTGATCGTGCATCATGCTGTTACCTGGGTACTGCACCACGGAGCTTAAGTGGAGCAACGAACAATGATGTGTCAAGGCTTCTTGTTAATTAAGCAAAGTCTGTGAACGAGTTCAGGCTGGCAACTCTGCCAAACACACTAATATTCCTCACTCTCTTCATGTCATATGTCAAGCACACCCCTCCCACCCCTCCACTACCCCAACACCCACTTGTACCTTCCAGAGGGGATATTTACTCATCATTCCTCCAATTTATATGGACTATATTTGCAGTGAGTGATGAGCTCAGAGCTTTTACAGCAAACTCAAACTGCAGCCTCCCGCTCTAATAATTAGTTATCTAAAACACGAGTTGTCTGAGCGAACTGTTATTGCTGATGTGCCACCCAATTTGCTATCAGTGATTCTTTGGCAGAAAAATAATCTCTACCAACACTTCACTTTTACATTGCAGAGCACGGTTAAGGCATATTAGCCTGTCAAAACCTTTGTTGATGGCTCTGCCATGTGATCAGGTACAACACTGCAGTTTTTCTAAAAGTTTTGCTCTCTTTATCCGTGCTTTCAGCTAGCAGCCTGCTTTAAGCAATCACACTGTATTGAACTGCTCATTTTCTCTAAATATTCATACGCTTCCCACGCACTTTCTAAATATCCTGCTATATTCTTGGGTTTAAAGAATTTGAGTGAAAAGGACTTGGGACAGCAGGAGACAGTTTGACAATTTTGACTACACAAAATAACCTTATTAGCACCAAAAGGCTCCAACATGACGCTCTAGTCTGTACGTGTCTGTCTTGCTTGCGGCAACAGTTCAACACTTGAATGACTGCTGCATTCATCCTTTCATACAAATGTCAGCGCCCAGCTATACAGCATCTAATTTCTATACGGGCACTCACAGCAACAGCAAAATGGAAATCATCCAGACTTGAGCACGAGTAGCAATTGGGGTAAGACAGGAAACGATGTGAAAATGGAGCAACGGTTTTCTGTTTTGACGTGTTGACGGGGAAGCCGCTGTCATGGGATGACACCACAATGTCAAGCAGATGTACAAGGGATAAGGTGATGGGAGATTGCTTGAAATTCCATCTGTCTGGGTGAGATAAATCTTCCACACCTTCTGTTCCATAACTGTTAAGATGGGTCAGAATCAGAGGACAAATTTCCCCATGAGGAATATTAAAATATACCTCAAATGAAACCCTGGGTGGACATCTTAAGAATTTAGAGTTCGTTAAACTGCCTTTCTCTTATCTGAAGGTTTTATAATATGACCATGTAATCTAAAGTCCGATTATGTGACAATAAAAAACAACTAACCCACACTGAATATACTTGAGCTTGAGTTTTTCAAATATAGAATCACTTTCTCAAATTTAGCATAAACCGCCATGTTTTGCAACATTTTGGTTAATAATATTTCGTTTATACTACTTCCCTACATGCTTAGAGGTTTAGCTATGTGGCCTTTCCCCAAGCCACAAGAAAAAAAGATTTTCAGAGTATTTTTGCGGAGCACCAGCTCCTGTGTGCTCCTGCATTGCTTGCCGTTATAAATAGAAACAAACCTTTCACAACCTCCTGCTAGATGAAAGATCTTGCATGTTAGCTGTCACATGCTGCCAGTTCTTGTTTCGAATCCCCTGCAAACAAGTGAACTGAAGGAGAGGGTCTTCATTAGCATAAATCACTCTGTAAACAAGGCCAAAAGCAGGGCGAGAACATTTCAGTAAATCCTTTCAACTACAAACACCGATGACGAAATGAGCTCTTTGGTGCGTCTGTGGTAGAAGAAACACGATGACCCTGTTTAAACTTTGCGTAAATCAGCCCGATGCCGTGCGTAGCCTCAGACTCGACTCTTTAATGGTGGAAGTGAAGAGCTATGTGCAACCAATTAAATAAACACCAGTGTGTGCCTAAGATTTTATCGCTGTCTCAACTGTGCCTCCGTGCAGACTTTGAGTTTTATGATGAAATTAGCAGTCAGTTCGCGCACACACAGACTAGAGCAGAAATGTTCTACATTGTTGACCTCTGTAATGGTTAGATGTTAACAAAATAAGTCACATCTAATTGTTTATCAAGGGTTAAAATGATGTCAGCAGCAGACTCCTCCTGGCACATGCTTGTTGTGTTATGGTAAAATGGTAAATGGCCTGCATTTGTATAGCGCTTTACT